TTGATTCACACGAGTTCACTAACTTTTCCACAGACTGGCAGTTTCAACACATAACATCGTCTCCAAGATACCCCCAGTCCAACGGTGAAGTGGAAAGGGCGGTCCAAACTATGAAGGCGGTCTTGAATAAGAGTAATGACGAATACTTGGCTCTCCTGAATTACAGAGATACTCCATTGCACCACGGTTACTCTCCAGCACAATTGAGCATGGGTCGGAAACTTCGTACAAGAGTCCCCTGTCACCCGGAGGAGCTAAAGCCAGAGACCCCAGACCGTGATCACATCAGAAGGAAAGAGAAGGAGTACCGAGCTAAGATGAAATTCGATTATGACCATAGACACAAAGTAGTAGAGGGAAAGGAACTGTCACCCGGTGACCGCATTTGGATCCCCGATTTAAAAGAGGAAGGAACAGTGATTAAGCCACACGAGAGTCCAAGATCTGTAATCATACAGACCCAAAACGGACAAGTGAGAAGAAACCGCCGGATGACAAGAAGAGTTCTGGTGGGAAGTTCTCCGGTCCCACCCCAGAATGAAGACTATGAGAATCATGAGCCGATACCAACAAGAGAGAGGAACCCAGACGTATCCTCAGCTCCTGGAGCCAGCCAAGAAGACTATGTAGAACTACCTGTCCCTGGGGACCAACCAGCAGTGGACAAGCCCTTGCAGCCTGAACCGATGCTGACACGCCTTAGACCTAGAGGAGCTCTAAGAAGACCGGACAGACTTATCGAACAATGCTAAGATTAGTTTCACTTTAGGACACTGGAGAACTGCGTTGTCCTTATTGACATTTAGTTAACTTAAAAAAAAAGAAAAGGAAGATGTAGTAACATGAAGTACTAACTGACCGCTGACCGGCGGTAGAGCGGTCATTAGGGAGAGCTGTATGAATCTATCGTATTAAAGTATGTTGTGTTGATGCTGTCGTCTCTGTACCTCTTCGGACTCAACACTAATTGTCTCCCGTTTCAATAAGAAGAAAAGTGATTAATGTTTATTCATATTGTGCCTGGTAATATTGTTGATTTCTGAAACTGAGACTCTCTGAAAGAAGCTCAGACTTTCTGAAAAAGTCACAATTGGACCTTCCTTCAGCATGAATTTTTTTTCTTTACCTTCTTCTTTGCATGAATTTTTAATTCTTTCTTGATATTTTCCCTTGCATGATTTTTTTTTTGGGTTTTTCCCCACCCCCCTTTTCTAATGGTCCGTCCCTAAGGCTCTTTGGCTTATTATTCGCTTTTCGCTAAGCAAAATTCGATCGTCAGGCTTCGATAGCTCTTTCACCCTCCTGTCGATCGCATCTTCTCCATCAAATAAAGTAAACGAGCACAGTTTGTCCAAATATACAACAATGATCCTCGCTCAATTATATTCAACGTCCTTTTTACAACTCCAAGTCCATTTCTTGCCGATGATATTGTCAGTGTTCTTTAGAATATTTCCATTTATACAAAACCCATTCTTCGGCTAGGCTGGCTACTCTGGTATGTGTCAAGAGAAAATGTACGCCTTACTAGTACCCTCTAGAATATGCCAAACATATGCGTAAAAGGCACTTGGAACAAAAGTAATACTAAGTAAGGGAGGTGAGGGTAAAGTATTTAATCTGACTTTAATGAATAAATTAATGAGAATCGAGTGAGTGGGTGAGTGAGTGAGTGATCGAGTGCTTGAGTGCCTCCAAAAGCCCATGGCATGACTACGTCATCCATGAGCTAAACATGAGTTTATCCCATATAGTCATCTCATATTTTTTTGGTGTTCTGTATTGCATGTTTTTTTTGTCGGTTAATATTTAATACTCTCCAGATGTACCTATATTGAAAAAAAAATACCACATAACTATCTCATATTCTATTTTAGTTGCAATTATCAGTTAACACCAATTCGTGCCGTCTGCGTTCGGTCTATTTAATAATCACTCTCAATTGGCGGTCTTGTTTAATCACCCGTTAACTGAACATGAGCACGTATTCTTAAAAACAGATAAATAAATGAAAAAAAATATCGCGTGGTTTGAGCCTAAACTAAAATGTAAACCTGGTAAACCACTGAAATAAATAGTAGAAGAGCTTATTGCAAAAGAAAAAATCCTTAGTTCGCGAAAAAAGCTACAAATTTCTGGATAGTCGTTCCATGATATTCGGAATCTTTCTACACGGACCTTCTTACGATTTTCGGAGGTTGTGTTTTTCACATTTTATACATTTATAACCAAAATTTTGGGAAAAAGTATTATAGTTAAATTGCCTTTCAAGTCAGACTTTCTTGTCGCCTTATGCTGTCAGTCTTAAAAAATTTGCAACGAGTGGCGGTACGTCCGTGAACAGATTCAATTTTCAAATAAACGCTTCCGATTGAACTACAATATAGGTAAATAAAATCGCATATCTTGACCTGTCTCAGGACTTTAAGATATCGCATGGATGATGAACTACTAGAGCAGGATAAATATTTCTTTTGCCGCAGAGTATGCAATGGACGTTATGTAATAGACTACTCATGCTGCTTCTCTCTGCAAAAAAGCAACATGTATAAAGAGAAAAAAGATCGAGCGAAAACATAAGCTGAGGATCTTTCGAGATCGAGAGACTGGTTTGGCTGCGAAGATTTTCTAAATTAACATCTCCCTTCCCCCACCCCCTCCAATTTTTTTTGCCCTCGCTCCAACTTTCGCGTAACTGACTCGTTTGCTACGCAGGCTACTCCACGTAACTCCACGTACGGCCACTTTTTTGGGGCGGACAGTCCATACATGGACTCTACCGCCACTTTCTGTGGGACCTTGTAGCCGTTGTGGGGGAGGGTCACCTGCATCTCCCTCCCCTTCCCTCTCTCTAAGTATTGTCAAACACGTGATTTTCTTTCCCAATATTCCCAGAACGAGGGGAAGGCAGCGCCAGTTTCCCTGTCCTCGTCAAGCAGAATATTGATCATGCAACAAAATTTATACGGAAATGCGACAATTGCTACCGCAATATACGCCCCGATCTTCATTTGCAAATCAGCAGGTTAACTGTGCTGAAACGATGCATCGAGGACGGAATTTCTCTCCGTTGTAACCTTTCCTTTAGCGAAGTTCACTCTAAGTAATCGTATAAAACTACCGGTTTCTGTACTCAGCTGAACGAAACAACATCTCTACCAAAGTAAGTGCAATCTTTATAGTCTGAGTCTTTGCTCCCAAAATGAACTGTGAAAAGCGTTAATGGTTTTATTACTCGTAATCGGCTTACAATTTATTACTCTTTCCGTGATCTAGATAGAACCTAAACTGCTTTGTTTTTAATTTGTGTTACCAAAATTGCTCAACGTCCAGTCAGTCTTTTTATCAACATGTGTTAAAAGGAAATGTTTTGCTTAATATTCGTCATGAGGGTCCAGTTTGTGCATAGGCATGTCTTTATTGAGCTTCGTTCGGCTCCATTCTGTGGCGTTGTGCTTTGTTTGTGTTATAAAGCCTGAATTGTTTCACAGTGCAACTGTGAAATGATTTCATTTGTCAACTGCGATTGGTTCTCCTCAGCAAGATAATATAATATTGATTCTCTGTAGTTCTGTTATCTAGTCACTTGTTGATATTGACTGACTCCAGAGCTGTCGTAATAGCTGTAAATAATGGCAATTTCGTTTCGTTGAACTGTCATTTACTACATGTAAGCTTAATTCACTGTTTAAATACACACTTGAGTAACAATAATAGTTAATTGCTCCTGCATGTGACTCCAGTTAACTTTTAAATTTGTATCTGGTTTGAATAATTTAATATTTGTCTATTTTTAGAGGAACACAAACAAAGGCAATTTTCAGTCGGCATATCTTTTTTTTCGTTTGGTCAGTTTTACCAGTTTGCCTTGTTTCCTTGCATTGCCTAGTTAGTGTCAGTACTGTGTCTCTATGGGTGAAATCTGAATATTTAATATTTGTATTATTGTTCCACCACAAAAAAAAAATCCCTCTTAATTGTATTTATGTAAAGAGGCAAACTTCTTCCAAATTTGGTCAGTGTTAGCTGGTTATAAAGAATTAACCAAAAACCAAAATAATATTGGACCCAACAAAACAAGAACAATAATGTATTGCATACGTATACATCAACAAATGTTATTATAACTTTTGGTGGTTTCTTGTCCTCCAAGTTTTACTACAACTAAAAAAAATCTCAAATGATCAACATCTTCCAAATTTGGTTAATGTTTGCTGGTTATAAAAAAATAGCTGTGTGAGGTTAAATCCAGTCAGAATAGACCAGTTTTGAATTAAAAATTACGGCTGAATACAAACATTAACCACCAATTCATATAGGGTTAGCCTCGACATAAAGTAAAATATTCAGAAATTCTGTCAAGTAAGTGTTTGAAATTTGAATATACACTAAAGACAGAGAGATAAACAGGTCTTTTTCTCGATGGAATTTGTGAATATATTACTTCAGATGGAGACTAAGCCTGTAAAAAATGCATCTTCACTTCTTTGATTCAGTGGTCATAGTGAACTCGAAACTGGACTATTAGGTTTTTTTTTTAAATGAACATAAATGATGATTTGAAATAATAAGTAAATACATGACAGTATCCACCAACAAAGTTCTCCTAGAACTTTCAGTACTAGAGACAAAGGACCTGTCATCAAATTGTTTTGCTGTGTTGTCTTAGGACACTTAGGTACTGTGTAGCTAAGTTCTGTTTATGGTTCAAGACACAGCTCACTTTAAAGCAGGTTGAAAAATCATTACCTAATCGTTTTTGGGCAAAAAATGTCACTTTGTTAGGTGGTCATGAAGTTTGTGTGTTGTAGAGTTCCCACAGCTATAATGGCAGAGGTTAGGTCCAGTTAGAAGTAGTAAGACAGGAGAACAGTGCCTAGTACTCCAGGTTGGAGTTCTAATGCTTATCATCCCTCCACTTAAAAAAGTGTCCTGATTATGTAAAAAAAAAAGATTTTAGTTACAGTTGTAGAGGTTATTGATTTCTGATAATAATGACGATGATGATGATGATGACAATGATGATCAGTGATGATGAAAATGATGGTGATGATAAAAGTTATTCCCTGTTGGTAGGACATTCCTATAATATACAGCTATTTTGAGAAAGGTTGTCGGAAAAAATGTGCATGCGACAATCCCGAGAGGCAATATGTGACATGATCAATACACTGTTCCTGGCACTGTTGCTGTCAAAGCTACTTTTGTTGCTTTCCTTTAGCACTTGCAAACACACGTCCATGGCCTCTTGTGCCATTCTTTCAAATTTCATTGAAAAAACAGTGAACTCAAAATCACCCACAATACCTTTTGGGATTGTTGTGTGCACTTTTTCCGACAACCTTTCTCGAAATAGCTGTCTATGTATTCTAATAAATCACAGACGTTTGCTCTCCTGACCCCAGAATTCTCAAGCCCATTTGTTTGGCTTTACGGGTATGTGTCTCTGTCTCACAGATCTACTCTAGTAGTAACCGTTATCCCACTGTTTTGACCTAACTTTGTGGTCCATAACTGGATTTAAATTTTTCAGATACGCTATGAGGTAGGATATAGAACTATGAAGCCCCACACCTTTCATCGCTCAGGTACTGCTCCATTGCCGACCATTAACTTAGCTCAAGTCGGGGCAGATAGAGAAAGATCATTTACAGAACCACATCAGCCGTTAGTTCCTGAACCATACCAGTCAATTCCTGCTCAAGATTTGCTTAAAGACAACTGTGGCTTCAGTGGCTGGATTAGAAAAGAGGGCAACAGCTTTAAGACATGTAAGGTTAATTCAAACTTACATTATCAGAATCTCCCTTATTGTTAATGATTGAAATGTGCTTAAATAAATCTGCTAATGTCATAGGTGACAAATTACTCCTTAATTTTAGCGCGAAATTTCAGCGTTAATTTGTAATTTCACGTGTGAAATTACAAAATTGCCATGGGAACCTTCCGTACGTCTCAGTTTCAAGATTGCGACGAAGTTTTAAAATGCCGTGAATGAAGATGTCAGGGCACAAAAAGACGCTTTAGAAAACCTGAGCACACAAGAGAATGTCAAGAAGGATTCTAACAGATATTTTGCCGAAATAGTCTGAAAAATTCTGAACTTTAGAAGCCAAATTTAAGGTCTAAAGATTTGAGAGAGTAGAGTTCTTGATCGATACGATCCAGGATAAACATGTCAAAAATCCAAGAATGCTAATGTAATTCGTCACCCATGATATTAATAGGTAATCAAATGGTATACTCGTGAAATTAGGAAAAATTTCACTTGCGTTTTGTCCAAATCCTAATAATTTCCCTCACCTAACAGGTGACATATCGTACACCAATTTCTTTTTTTAAATAACTTAGTTTTTTATTTTAATACTTGACTATTTAAACTAGCAGTGTTTTCAAAGGGCCATGGGTTTCCTCAAGACCTCTTACACTCCGTCCATTACTTAAATTGATTATAGGGTGAAGTAGCTTATTTAGTGAACACAAAATTATTCCTTGTTAACTCTCTTTAGTTTACTTTTTACTTTTTTTGCATTTGTTTCTCATAATATTATACCTTTGCAGGGCATGACAGATATACCATTTTACACAAAGGTTGCCTGTACTATTACAAAGATGCTAATGCATCATCAACTGCTGGCAAGTTCTCACTTGGTGGATACAGGTAAAGTTTACAATGAGAAAACATGTAATGTGACATTGCAGCTAGATACAGTGCACGCTTTCACTGACTCTACTGACCTTCAAGATTTTCAATCAGCAATATGGGTGAAATCTATTGTTCCTTCTTTTATGTAAATTGTAGGCTGTCACCTGCTCCTGAGAGAAGCTCAAAATATGGGTGGACATTTAAATTAGCCCACATACAACCAGAAAAGAGAACATATTACTTTGCAGCATATTCTGAAAGGGAAATGAATGTAAGTGATATCTTAGTAACCTGAACACAAGCATTGATTTGGTACATTTTTTTGGGTATGTGAACACTTTTGGCACTCAAGCTTAAATGTTCTCTTGTTGATGCTGACAGAGGATGTACAATTTAACCAACTCAAGTATAATAATCAACTGATGTGTCATAACTTTTTCCAATCCAATATTTCCTACCAGTTCTTGAAACCACGGTATCTTTGCAGGACTCATTTCCAATAATTGTTATTGTTTGCGGAGCTTTGTGTGAGTCGATACAGGGCATTGTCATATAAACGTCCCGGAAATATTCTGTACAAAGCCATTATGTTTTTCTACCAGGAATGGATGGAGCATATAACTAAGGAGATGGAAGACTACTGCGGTAATGGAAAAAAAGACACGTAAGTCATGATTCATTGTGAATCAAACGCATTCTGTCTATTTATTTGATTTTGTGGAAAAAAGTTAAAAGCTTTAATATTAACTAAGGTAGTTGACCTCCATTGTTATTGCTGGGTATGGCTTATCTGTAATGGGTGCTCGCTTATCATTTATTATTTTGACAGTAACTGCCAACCAACATGTTTGACTGTTTAATCATGGTTCAAAGTGTCTATTAAAATGACACAATCCTGTGTTGCCTATCAAATGAAAGATTATTCCCGTTCTTATTTAGTATATGACTTAATTATTATTTCTTTTAATATTTTTTTATAAGAGAATTTTTTTATTTAGTATATGACTTAATTATTATCATTTTTTTTTATTTAGTATATAACTTAATTATTATTTCTTTTAATATTTTTTTATAAGAGAATTTTTTTTATTAGCCATTGATGCATTTAGCAATAACACCCAGGCAAAATATTTTTCCACTATTTTGACTTAGCATCTTTAAACTAACACAGAACTGAAAAAACAGAGGTTGAGGATGGACCTGAATACTGCTATCCAGAAGTAGAGCCAAAATTTGACCCAGAAGAAATTGCTGCTTTATTTGGAAGACCATCACCTAGCCTTCCGAGACGACGTGCAGATTCGGGGCCAATGTACTGCCCTCCCCCTGAAATAGATCAACGAGACATTAAGAAAAGGCCACCGCACTTATTACCCAGAACACAAACTGTGTTACCATATCACGTATCTGATACAGTACCAGTGGACAATCCTTTGTCATTAAAATCAGTTAGGTCACGGCCACCAGGAGCAAGCCCTGTTTTACCAACAAAGGGTGCCCCTGCAGTACCATCAAGGGTTACAAAGCCAGTGATTGGAAATCCTGCAGCGACATCAGCCAAACCTTTGCCTAAACCTAAACCTAAACCTAAACCATTGCCACGCCCACCATCTCTTGAAAAGCGTGTTCCGCAACCCATTCCAAACTACACGGATGCTTTTGAAGGTATGATCCAAATACCTAGTTTGTGGTTCTTTCATTTTGTAAATGTCATTTTTTTGTGTACTATCTTCATGATAGAACTTCTGTTAGTTACCATTAATACAGTTATAAAAAATAATAAAAACGTTTTTTTTTGCTTTAACTGATAGGCGAAGATGACGAGGAAATCAATGAAGGTTACCTAGATATTGTTCCAGACACCACCCCAGAAGATTTATTTGATGAAGAGAAAAAGTCGAGCCTTTCAAGGTCTGTCCAGTAAGGGACTTGTTAAGTTTACATTATTGTTCCTTTTCTAATAGTGCACTAGAAATGCAGCTTCTTTCCTCCTTATATCCCTGCAAACTCAATCCTTTCTATTAGCTGGGCCTTACACTGTCTGTGCCCCCCCCTCCCCTTCATCATTTCCTACCCCTTTATCCTTCCCTTTCCTTTTCTCTCTGGCTTCCTACCTTTCTTCCTTTCCAATTACTTCTTCACACACTCAATTCCTCCTTTTCTCTTTGTTACCATTCTTGAACCTTGCTTCCTTTGCCTTTGTCCTTTCGTAGTCTTTACTTTACATTCTTTTTAATTCCTTCTTCTTCATTTGGATCTCCTTTTCTTCTCCCCTTGTTTTATACTTTTCCTTTAATTTCTCATTTTTCCCTCTCCTTCTTTCCCTTTCTTCCTTCCTTGCTTTTCCCCTTTCTTTCCTTTTTCTTTTCGTCTTACTTCCTTTTGTCTTACAGTGTATATCTCCCATAGTACCTCCTTTTGTGAGTAATTAAAATTTATTGTCTTACATGTACATCATTTTTTGCCATTGCAGAGGATACCCAGATGGAAAAAGTTTTCGGCATCACAGCTCTGAGGTAAACATGGTGTGAAATATAACTATTTTTGTGCTGTTGACCTGCAGCACATGACTGTGTTCATTTAAACTGTGAGGGGTGTCACTACATGTAACTGTTACATTGGTGAATTTAGTATTTCAGCACAGTTACCTGATGGCCTTGGGTCACATTATTACTGCTGTTAACAACAATGAAAATCGATTTCTGTCTTTACTGGTAACGAGAGATAGAGAAGCTGAAGTATTGACTGCTAGCCTTTCAACAGAGCTAATTCAAACATCAGCTTCTCTATCTCTCTTTGATGGGCAACTTACAATACACACCCAACAGCTGGGTTTGCATTAACAATAGCCGGTTACCCACATAGCCCAGTCTACCATCACCTATGTGGCCTCTTACCACTGTCTGTTATGGGAGGTTTTAGTGAAAAGAGGCCTCTTATTTAGCCCTTTTCTTAATCAAAGCCCACTATTCCACCTTCGGCAGCTCTTTATGGAAAAGGTTATTGAAACCCCTACCCGGCAGGTCTTCTTGACTTGACCATGTCTCTAGCTTTCGACAGCGTGTGTAGCCAATGGACAGCACTTCTGTCAAGTAGACAGTGACGTAAATCCCTCAAATATCCATACTCTATGGCCAGCTGAATGATGAAACGGTAATTACTTTTAAATTGTTCATAATTCTCCCTGGGACTTTTATAGAATGTGCTTCCAGACTCTGCTGTGAAACTGAACTTGGACAAGACAGCTGTTAGCGAGTAAGAAGAAATCCTTGATTTGTCTTTTTAGACTGAGTACCAATAATAACCTAATCGTTTTTGGGCAAAAAATGTCACTTTGTTAGGTGGTCATGAAGTTTGTGTGTTGTAGAGTTCCCACAGCTATAATGGCAGAGGTTAGGTCCAGTTAGAAGTAGTAAGACAGGAGAACAGTGCCTGGTACTCCAGGTTGGAGTTCTAATGCTTATCATCTCTCCACTTAAAAAAGTGTCCTGATTATGTAAAAAAAAAAAGATTTTAGTTACAGTTGTAGAGGTTATTGATTTCTGATAATAATGACGATGATGATGATGATGACAATGATGATCATTGATGATGAAATTGATGGTGATGATAAAAGTTATTCCCTGTTGGCAGGACATCCCTACAATATACAGCTATTTTGAGAAAGGTTGTCCGAAAAAATGTGCATGCGACAATCCCGAGAGGTAATATGTGACATGATCAATACACTGTTCCTAACACTGTCGCTGTCAAAGCTACTTTTGTTGCCTTCCTTTAGCGCTTGCAAACGTACGTCCATGGCCTCTTGTGCCATTCTTTCAAATTTCATTGAAAAAATAGTGAACTCAAAATCACCCGCAATACCTTTTGGGATTGTTGTGTGCACTTTTTCCGACAACCTTTCTCGAAATAGCTGTCTATGTATTCTAATAAATCACAGTTGTTTGCTCTCCTGACCCCAGAATTCTCCCCAAGCCCATTTGTTTGGCTTTACGGGTATGTGTCTCTGTTTCACAGATCTACTGTAGTAGTAACTTTTATCCCACTGTTTTGACCTAACTTTGTGGTCCATAACTGAATTTAAATTTTTCAGATACGCTATGAGGTAGGCTATAGAACTATGAAGCCCCACACCTTTCATCGCTCAAGTACTGCTCCATCGCCGACCATTAACTTAGCTCAAGTTGGGGCAGATAGAGAAAGATCATTTACAGAACCACATCAGCCGTTAGTTCCTGAACCATACCAGTCAATTCCTGCTCAAGACTTGCTTAAAGACAACTGTGGCTTCAGTGGCTGGATTAGAAAAGAGGGCAACAGCTTTAAGACATGTAAGGTTAATTCAAACTTACATTATCAGAATCTCCCTTATTGTTAATAATTGAAACATGCTTAAATAAATCTGCTAATATCATAGGTGACGAATTACTCCTTAATTTTGGTGCGAAATTTCAGCTTTTATATTACTACATGAGAAATTTCTGCAATTTGATTGGCTTAGAGCAGTGGTATTTCAGCTTAATTTGAAATACCTACATGTGAAAATTACAACCTTTTGCGGGTAGTAGTATAAACAAATAATGGTATGATTTGTATGTGATATTTGGCATAAATACCGCTCGTGATATTTCAAAATTGTCTCAAATAATTTGACGGCTCGTGAAATTACGTATAACAATTTTGAAATACCACTCGTAGTATTTATGCCAAATATCACTACTAATCATGCTATTACCTACACTAATTTGTAATTCCACATGTGAAATTACAAATGGTGAGGAAGTGCTTGACGCCAACTTGATAGGTGCGCCGAGTGGAAGGGGCAAGGGAAGCATGAAGGTATCGCTGTACAGAACCTCTCAGATGTTCATCGCTGATGGAGGGATGGTGGAGGCTGTGGGAGAGGCTGAGGGAGCCAGGGTACGGAAGCGGTCCATCTGAAAACGGGAAAGGGAGTCAGCGATAGAATTGTCTAAGCCCGGGATGTGAGTAGCCGTGAATGTGAAGTTATATTGGAGAGGGAGCTTCACATTCACGGCTACTCACATCCTGGGCTTAGACAATTCTATCGCTCAATTCTATCAATACGATCCAGGATAAACATGTCAAAAATCTAAGAATGCTAACATAATTCGTCACCCATGATATTAATAAGTAATCAAATGGTATACTCGTGAAACTAGGAAAAATTTTACTTGTGTTTTGTCCAAATCAGGGAAATTATTAGGATTTGGACAAAATGCACGTGAAATTATTCCTTAATTTCACTCGTCACCATTTGATTACACATACTAATTTAATGAATTAGATATTTCTCTAAAGTATGCAAATTTTTATATGCTTGTGTTTGGATGTCTTTGTTGACCACAGGTGACATATCGTACACCAATTTTTTTTTAAATAACTTAATTTTTTATTTATTTACTTGACTATTTAAACTAGCAGTGTTTTCATAGGGCTATGGGTCTCCTCAAGACCTCTTATACTCAGTCCATTATTTAAATTGATTATAGGGTGAAGTAACTTATATAGTGAACACAAAATTATTCCTTGTTAACTCTCTCTATTAGTTTACTTTTTACTTTTTTTGCATTTGTTTCTCATAATAATATACCTTTGTAGGGCATGACAGATATACCATTTTACACAAAGGTTGCCTGTACTATTACAAAGATGCTAATGCATCATCAACTGCTGGAAAGTTTTCACTTGGTGGATACAGGTAAAGTTTACAATGAGAAAACATGTAATGTGACATTGCAGCTAGATACAGTGCACGCTTTCACTGACTCTACTGACCTTCAAGATTTTCAATCAGTAATATGGGTGAAATCTATTGTTCCTTCTTTTATGTACATTGTAGGCTGTCACCTGCTCCTGAGAGAAGCGCAAAATATGGGTGGACATTTAAATTAGCCCACATACAACCAGAAAAGAGAACATATTACTTTTCAGCATATTCTGAAAGGGAAATGAATGTAAGTGATATCTTAGTAACCTGAACACGAGCATTGATTTGGTACATTTTTTTGGGTATGTGAACACTTTTGGCACTCAAGCTTAAATGTTCTCTTGTTGATGCTGACAGAGGACGTACAATTTAACCAACTCAGGTATAATAATCAACTGATGTGTCATAACTTTTTCCAATCCAATATTTCCTACCAGTTCTTGAAACCACTGTATCTTTGCAGGACTCATTTCCAATAATTATTATTGTTTGCGGAGCTTTGTGTGAGTCGATACAGGGCATTGTCATATAAACGTCCCTGAAATACTCTGTACAAAGCCATTATGTTTTTCTACCAGGAATGGATGGAGCATATAACTAAGGAGATGGAAGACTACTGCGGTAATGGCAAAAAAGACACGTAAGTCATGATTCATTGTGAATCAAACACATTCTGTCTATTTATTTGATTTTGTGGAAAAAAGTTAAAAGCTTTAATATTAACTAAGGTAGTTGACCTCCATTGTTATTGCTGGGTATGGCTTATCTGTAATGGGTGCTCGCTTATCATTTATTCAAGTTAATTGTCAGTAACTGTCAACCAACATGTTTGACTGTTTAATCATGGTTCAAAGTGTCTATTAAATTGACACAATCCTGTGTTGCCTATCAAATGAAAGATTATTCCAGTTCTTATTTAGTATATGACTTAATTATTATTTCTTTTAATATTTTTTTTATAAGAGAATTTTTTTATTTAGTATATGACTTAATTATTATTATTATTATTTTATTTAGTATATGACTTAATTATTATTTCTTTTAATATTTTTTTATAAGAGAATTTTTATTATTAGCCATTGATGCATTTACCAATAACACCCAGGCAAAATATTTTTCCACTATTTTGACTTAGTATCTTTAAACTAACACAGAGCTGAAAAAACAGAGGTTGAGGATGCACCTGAATACTGCTATCCAGAAGTAGAACCAAAATTTGACCCAGAAGAAATTGCTGCTTTATTTGGAAGACCATCACCTAGCCTTCCAAGACGATGTGCAGATTCGGGGCCAATGTACTGCCCTCCCCCTGAAATAGATCAACGAGACATTAAGAAAAGGCCACCGCACTTATTACCCAGAACACAAACTGTGTTACCATATCACGTATCTGATACAGTACCAGTGGACAATCCTTTGTCATTAAAACCAGTTAGATCACGGCCACCAGGAGCAAGCCCTGTTTTACCAACAAAGGCTGCCCCTGCAGTACCATCAAGGGGTACAAAGCCAGCGAGTGGAAATCCTGCAGTGAGATCAGCCAAACCTTTGCCTAAACCTAAACCTAAACCTAAACCATTGCCACGCCCACCATCTCTTGAAAAGCGTGTTCCACAACCCATTCCAAACTACACAGATGCTTTTGAAGGTATGATTCAAATACCTAGTTTGTGGTTCTTTCATTTTGTAAATGTCATTTTTTTTGTGTACTATCTTCATGATAGAACTTCTGTTAGTTACCATTAATACAGTTATAAAAAATAATAAAAACGTTTTGTTTTCTTTAACTGGTAGGCGAAGATGACGAGGAAATCAATGAAGGTTACCTAGATATTGTTCCAGACACCACCCCAGAAGATTTATTTGATGAAGAGAAAAAGTCGAGCCTTTCAAGGTCTGTCCAGTAAGGGACTTGTTAAGTTTACATTATTGTTCCATTTCTAATAGTACACTAGAAATGACAGCTTCTTTCCTCCTTATATCCTTGCAAACTCAATCCTTTCTATTAGGTGGGCCTTACACTGTCTGTGCCCCCCCTTCATCATTTCCTACCCCTTTATCCTTCCCTTTCCTTTTCTCTCTGGCTCCCTACCTTTCTTCCTTTCCAATTACTTCTTCACACACTCAATTCCACCTTTTCTCTTTGTTACCATTCTTGAACCTTTCTTCCTTTGCCTTTGTCCTTTCGTAGTCTTTACTTTACATTCTTTTTAATTCCTTCTTCTTCATTTGGACCTCCTTTTCTTCTCCCCTTGTTTTATACTTTTCCTTTAATTTCTCATTTTTTCCTCTCCTTCTTTCCCTTTCTTCCTTCCTTTCTTTTCCCCTTTCTTTCCTTTTTCTTTTTGTCTTACTTCCTTTTGTCTTACAGTGTATATCTCCCATAGTACCTCCTTTTGTGAGCAATTAAAATTTATTGTCTTACATGTACATCATTTTTTGCCATTGCAGGGGATACCCAGATGGAAAAAGTTTTCGGCATCACAGCTCTGAGGTAAACATGGTGTGAAATATAACTATTTTTGTGGTGTTGACCTGCAGCACATGACTGTGTTCATTTAAACTGTGAGGAGTATCACTACATGTAACTGTTACATTGGTGAATTTAGTATTTCAGCACAGTTACCTGATGGCCTTGTGTCACATTATTACTGCTGTTAACAACAATGAAAATCAATTTCTGTCTATTGTTAATGCAAACCCAGCTGTTGGGTGTGTATTGTAAGTTGTCCATCAAAGAGAGATAGAGAAGCTGAAGTATTCACTGCTAGCCTTTCAACAGAGCTAATTCAAACATCAGCTTCTCTATCTCTCTTTGATGGACAACTTACAATACACACCCAACAGCTGGGTTTGCATTAACAATAGCCGGTTTATAGCCACATAGCCCAGTCTACCATCACCTACGTGGCCTCTTACCACTATCTGTTATGGGAGGTTTTAGTGAAAAGAGGCCTCTTATTTAGCCCTTTTCCTAATCAAAGCCGACTATTCCACCTTCGGCAGCTCTTTATGGAAAAAGTCATCGAAACCCCTACCCGGCAGGTCTTCTTGACTTGACCATGTCTCTAGCTTTTGGACAGCGTGTGTAGCCAATGGACAGCACTTCTGTCAAGTAGACAGTGACCTAAATCCCTCAAATATCCATACTCTATGGCCAGCTGAATGATGAAACGAATAATTACTTTTAAATTATTCATAATTCTCCCTGGGACTTTTATAGAATGTGCTTCCAGACTCTGCTGTGAAACTGAACTTGGACAAGACAGCTGTTAGCGAGTAAGAAGAAATCCTTGATTTGTCTTTTTAGACTGAGTACCAATAAT